ATGCCCCCAGAGTCCTTCCAGCAAAGCAGCTCCCAGCTCCTGACTGAGAGCCAACCACTGCATCGGGATGCTAAAGCCACCTGGGCACTGAGGAGGCCACACGGTCCCCAGGCACTGTCTGTGTCAAGATGCAGGTGGAGGTGGAGGTCCGTGAGACCATCCATTCCCAGCTGTCTCCTTCAGGAGCCCTCATGTCACCATGGTAGCTAAGGTCATGCTGGACCTTTGTCCTTCTTGTGCATGAAGCCCAGCCGAGCTGTCCCAGGCCAGGCTCTGCTCTGGAGATGCCATATGGACACAATGGCACCAGCTTCATCTCCCTCCAGCATAGCCATCCCCAATTTCAGTTATCTCCCCAAGAGCTGTTCCTGTCCCAGCAGGAGCTGGGACACACGGAGTGGGGTGACAGCCAGGGCCAGTACTGTCCCTCTGTCAGGGTGACACTGGTTTGTCATGCAGGCCAGGCTGTGCGGAGGCTCCTTCCCCACTGGCCCCAGGGGTTCAGAGGGGCGCGAGGCTGGAGCACCCACCGGGGTCTGCAGTGCCAGCACAGGGAAGCTGTGCTGCTCGCCCAGCATGTCCATGGGGCCAACTCCAAGCTGGGAGCAAGCTGGGGCACTGCCCTAACACATGCTTTTAGCTGAGGAGCTGCAGTTGGGTTTGGGAAAGGCCCAGATGGCAGTGGCGCCCAGCTCACCCACCACAGCAACAAAAATAAACCCAGAGGTAAGATTTTTATCTTTGCCAGAGCAAAGTCCAGCACGTAAAAGAGTCTGTTGGCTCAAGACTTGAGGAACCTCCCTCCCCATGCCAGGGAGCACCAGCGACCCCATGGCTTGCACTGGGCAGGGGACAGGTGTCAGGGTCTGTCCTCTCAAGTGGGGTCAGCTGGCAGAGGGTGCAGCAGGATTTCACCCAGGGGGATGCTCCCAGAAGGAGTTTTGTGTGGCCACATCGCCCCAGCCACAGGCTGGTGTGCCAGACCCACACATTGCTCAGGTGTGAGGGCAAATGCCCCAGGAAGTTTTGTCACAGGAGTTGGTGCTGACCCTGGGCACCCTGGGTGACTCCTTTGCAGGAGGAGTGAGTCCCATGAAAGGATACGGCTGGTCCTGCCTGCCAGGCAATCCCCACCACCCCTAGCCATGCAGGCAGCACCCCGAGCGCCACAGTTGGGCCCCAAACATATCAGGGAGCTCGCCTGTCCTCTCAAGTGGGGTCAGCTGGCAGAGGGTGCAGCAGGATTTCACCCAGGGGGATGCTCCCAGAAGGAGTTTTGTGTGGCCACATCGCCCCAGCCACAGGCTGGTGTGCCAGACCCACACATTGCTCAGGTGTGAGGGCAAATGCCCCAGGAAGTTTTGTCACAGGAGTTGGTGCTGACCCTGGGCACCCTGGGTGACTCCTTTGCAGGAGGAGTGAGTCCCATGAAAGGATACGGCTGGTCCTGCCTGCCAGGCAATCCCCACCACCCCTAGCCATGCAGGCAGCACCCCGAGCGCCACAGTTGGGCCCCAAACATATCAGGGAGCTCGCCTTACCTCGGGAGAGCAGAGCTGGGAACTGCCAGTTCTTCTGGGTCTTCCTCAAGGCAGCTGCAAAATGCTGGAAAAGCCACTTGCAAGCAAGCTCGGTGGCATGCAGGTGGATGTGGCATCACCTCCCCCCCCACCCCTGTCGAGCACCACGCCCCAGTGACATGGCTGTTTGCTAGGTCAGGGTGACGGTCCTGGGCTAGCCCTGCCAGGGCTCAGCAGCAGCAAGCGGCCCTCTTCCTCTGTACAGCATTGCAGTGAGGCCAAAGGATGCGCTCATTTGTTTGATCTTTTTTTATTTTTTTTTTGGTTTGTCCCTTCTTTGGTTTAATTAGCCAGGCAGTTTGGGAGCTGCGGGAGAGTCCAAAGGCACTGATCAGTCCCCAGGGCAACTCAGTGGGTGTTCCCACCTGACTCAGAGGCTTTGCTGCTCTTCCTGCTCCTCTCCGCCTTCACTGACCAAGTCCCCCACCCTCTGCAGCTCCGGTTCTTCATGCCGCACTCAGAGCAACCAAGCGCGTTGTGGGCACAACCATGGCACAGGGACACTGAGAGCGGGGCTGAAATCATGCTGGTGTGAGGTGGAAGTGGACAAGGAGCGGCCAGCTGCCCTCCTCACAGGTGACGTGTCCTTGGTTTGATGTAGCATGGCCCGTGTGAGCAAATGGCTGGCTCCAAGCAGACAGACCAGAGGAGCACCTGGGGACATTACGTCTGCACCTCGGTGACACCGAGCCCTGGAAAACCACATCACAAGGTGAAGCAGGAGCGGAGGAGCTCCTGTAAGGCAGATGCCAGTGCTCGGGCCCAGTGCCACCTAAGGGTGTGCAAGGACCCAACAATGTGGGTGCTCCTGTCCTGTGCTTCCAGCACCGTCCTCTGGCACCAGCCAAGGACAGGCCAGCTGGAGTCACTGGGGACATCGAGCCAGGGCTGGAGCCAGGTGCCACCTGAACAGAGGCTGGTGGGGAGCTAAGGCTAAGCCCCAGTATGGCCCAGTCTGGGCTAAATCTGTGTCAGCTTATGAATCCTGCTGGACAAGGCCACTGGTTCTCTTACCACTGTTCTGTGACAGTCAGGACAAGCCAGCAGCAGCGCAAAGGGACAACTGTCACCTACAGGAAACTTACTTGCAGTTCTCATTCGTTTTCTAGAGAGAAAAGGAGCAGCCACTTGTTTCATCATCATCAGGGCATCTCATGAGGGAGATCAGACCCACGAACACTTTCCTGGTGCTCCCCAGGCCTCTGCTAAGTGACTCTGAACTGCAGAGCCGGTTATACAGCAGTTATGGCTATGTGTGGGCTGTCAAGGACCTTATGAAGCTCAACACGGACAAGTGTAAGGTCTTGCAGCTGGAAAAACACAATCCAGGAGTGCAGCACACACTGGGATCCACCCGGCTGGGGAGAAGCTCTGTGGGAAGGGCCCTGGGGGTCCTGTTGGCCAACAAGCTCAACTGGTTGCACAGCAGTTATGGATATGTGTAAAAATGGTTAAAGAGCAGTTCTCCACCTCAGGATCCTACCTGTGTGAAACAGAGCAGCAGAGGGGAGGGGGTAGTACCAGGAGCTGGGTGGATGGGGCAAAGACAGGTGTGGGCCAGGGAGCAGCTGAGGTTGGAGGCGAAGCCCCAGCTACCAGATGTTTTGTCAGAGTCAATGTCATCAATAGAGTACAAAAGTCTGTAAAGCCTGGTGTCAGAAGGAGACCGGTCCTCTGGGCCTGGGCTCCAAAGCATCACTCGACGCCTTGCAGAGAGGCGGGGGGCAGATCCACCGCTCGCTGTACCCTTGTGGTGGGAGCTGAACACAAGAGACACTGAGGTGGCTTTGGCACTGGGAGGGAGTTCCTTGTGACATTGGCATCGAACACGCTGATCCATGCCTCATCCTGGAATACTGAATGACTCGCACTTTCTGGGGCTCTGAGGGCAGTGTTTCACACCAGAGCTAGGGTTCAGTGAGACACCCCCCCCGAACCAGCATCAGCCATGCATACTCCTGCCCTGTGCCTCGCCCTCCCAACACCCCTCTCTTGATATTATGGGAATGGATGTGAAATACAAAGTAAAAAAACACGTTTCTGCTCAAAACCCCACACATTAGTTCTCTCTGGCTCTGCGCACGGCTCCATAAAACCCTGCCAGCACACTGAAGGCATGAAGTGCTCAGGAAAGTGAGAGGACAGATGGAAATAAATTAGCTTTGCTGTGGAAGCCAGTGCATGGTTACAAGCCTGGCCTCGGCCAGGGCAGGGCAGGGGAGGCAGCAGCTGCGGTGCTTGGCAGTGGGCTGGGATGTACAAGGATATCTACAGCAACCAACTGACCTCCTGGTAATCCCCCTCCTCCAGGCAGCAGTTTTAAGTACAAATGCTTTCTAGGGAAAAAGAATTTTATAAATGAAACTAATCCTTCCATGCATCTTTATTTTGAAATAAAGTAGCTGGCATCTCAAACGATGCTTGCGTGGCAGGATACTTTGAGACTAACGCCAAGAGCTGAGTGAACTGAAATAAGGATGCAGCACAGAAGGATCTTTCGAAGAAGCAGGATGCTATACAACACCACAGCGTGCTTAATTACAGACCCTTGTTCTCATAGCGCCGGCCCTGTGCGACTTGCCACCTACCACTCTGTACAGAAATAAAGATGGGGAAAAGCCCGATGAGCCTTGCTGCGAGTCCAGGGCTCCCCGGTGAGCCAGGCACGTCCCCAGCTGGGGTGAGGGCAGCGATCCGGAGCCTGCTCCCTCGCTGTCAGTTCACCCGGCAGGCTCGGATCATGAGCAGCTGGAGGAGGATGAAGACAGGCGACATGATGAGGCCATACCAGAGCTCCCGGGTGTGCTCCACCAGCTTCTGGCACAGCAGCATCTCGAAGACGAACTTGAGGCTGAGGATGGTGAGGATCCAGAAGAGCCGCAGGACAGCCAGGCGCTTCTCACCGTCCTGGAAGAGCCGCACCGAGACGATGGTGGTGAAGTAGGTGCTGAGGCCGTCGGCGGCGAAGAAGGGGACGAAGACCACCCACCAGGAGAGGGCCGAGGCCTCGCCGTCCACCTTCAGGACGAGGAGCACCGAGAAGGCCAACAGGGCCAGGCCGTGCAGGAAGATCTCGAAGGTGGCGAAGCCCAACCACTGCACCAGCTCCCGCAGGGAGAACAGCATCGTCCCGACGGCCGCGGGGACATCGGGCGGCGGGGGGGGACGGGGACGACACCCCCGGCCCCGGCACCTCAGCCGC